CGCATTGAACAAAGAATTAATAGAGAAAATTCTTGTGTGATGATTTTTAATTATCCAAATTATTTCATATTTTCTTTTTTTGTTTTTACTATAATGAGAATTATAAATAATGATGCTTCAGCTTGCATAATTGTTAATCATCTGGACCCTAATGATCCTTTATACAATAAAAACATTATGCTTTGTTCTCAAGCAGGTATATATGCGTCTTTATAAGACTTTAAGAATAGGGGCATCTTATTTCAGTTTCACTTTATGACTTCGTCTCATAATTCATCAATCTCGGTATTGTGGCATTACATGATCCTGGATTACGGGGAAAATACATTTATTGTACTTGTGGTTTTGGACGTATTAGGTATTTATACAATAGATGGGATAAATTAATTATACTGCATAAATGGCATATCGGTGAATATATTGGTAATAAGGCATTTATTCCAAGAATGTAAATATATAAACAAGGCCTTGTTGACTCATCGAGAAGTATAGACGTTTTAAAATTAATTTACAAAGAGTCTACAATTCTACATTGCTGCAATGCAAGTGCTGTATTACAGCGTTTTTCAGATTACTGTCCAATCTATGATTGGTTAAAAAATTATTAGAATGATTGATTTCCGGTGTGATACATGAAATTTACCGATTAATAGATAGCGATAGAGAATACGGCAATATCATAATACATTGATAATGCTGCATTACCGCAATTCAGTAATTTTGACGTCAACTATATCGAGAAAAGAAATTCAATACGTACTTGGTTATACAACACTCGATAAGTTGTAAAACTTGAATATGCTATTAAGTGGCATAGTAACATACTAAAATTTGTACACGTGATTAACATCGCACGTAGTGTTGTTACACCCGAACTACCTTTTATGTTACGAAAGAGGCAGATACAAGTGGTAGTATAAGATTTGTATAATTTTTTTATTTTTTGTCTATGAAGTCATGATCATTCTGTTTATTAATAATTGGTGCGTGATTCCAAGAGGGACATTTGTACATTTTAAGTGACTAGCAGCTAGGATTATTAGATTTTACATGCTAGCCATTTTATATTTACTCTATCTAATAATCATACACGGCTCCGTTCACTTAGTAGACAATCACTCAATCACTTTACCGACAACTTACAAACAAGATTATTTTACAGATAATTAATCCATAGATAAGTTTATTTCGTAAACAAATTATTTTACAGATAATTAATCCATAGATAAGTTTATTTCGTAAACAAATTATTTTACCGACAGCTTATTTAATAGGCAGTTTATTTCACCAACAGCGCATAATTCTAGTCGATCATTAGGATTAGGCTTAGAATTAGAGTCAAGGTTAGCACAATCTATAATTGTCGTGAAATAAACCGTCTTCAAAATAAGTTCTCGGCAAAGTAAGCTGTTTATGAAATGAACTTGTCTGTGAATAATTGTCTGCTAAATAATCTTGCTGTGAATAATTGTCTGCTAAATAATCTTGCTGTGAATAATTGTCTGCTAAATAATCTTGCTGTGAATTGTATGTGAAATAAGCTGTCTATGAAGTGATACAGATCCATTATACAAAAATATGCCTAATACAATTAATTAGAAATAAATAGAATCAATAAGGATAATATATTTAAAAGAATTAATGAATTAATGTACCAATACCCTAATCCATATCGATATGTAAACTCAGTTTCCGCTAATCCCAACGAATCAGGATATTATTATTACTAATCTGCACTTTAAGCAATCTTAGCATTTGTGTTAATTATTATATACTTATTATGTACATACCTATGATTCACCACTTGCCAAATCTAAACTTTTTCGACTAGTTTTGAATAGATCCGATCATGTGTATATTTTCTAAGTCAACTGTCCTAGCGTTACCAATTTAAAAGATAATCAGGTGTAACATAAATCAAAACAAATATACAAACCTTAACACTAACTCTGATAGTGAAGATTTTATGTTAGTAACGCTACGTAGTATGGTCGACTAAGCCTATTATAGGTTACGCGTAGGTTAGAATTGTGTAGCGCTGACCCGTAATTTAGCCGTAACCGTCCGCTATATAGAGTTGGCCACGTGAAAAACAATTCACCCTAATGTGGCCTACATTCGTTTATTCTGTATTTGTAAGTTATTTTTTTAATTCGTCTTTAAACCCTTATTCACTTTTTTGATGTATTTAGACAATTCAATTATTATACAGACTTTTTGTAATACATGATATTCGTTTGTGTATCCAGTGCACAATATTTGAAATCAAAAATATTAATTTAATTTATCTTGTACAATTGAACTAAACTTCTTTTCGCATAATCATAAACTTCAATTTTTTATTTAATTTTATTTAAATTAAAATAATATTGAAAGATAAGAAATAATATATTTAACAATTACATATCTTAATTTATGAATACAATATATGAATTGACAAAGAAGGTTCAGATATCAAGGTTACGTTGGAAGTTTCTAATGACTTTGCATTGAAACTTTTCTACGTAATGCCCCAATAACTTTTCTTTATGGCAAATGTGTGGTATGTATGCATGTTGTAATCTAGCATATATACATATTTTTAAATAATTTATATCTGTACAAATTTCTTTTTAATATGTTGTTCATTGTTTCTATCTTTGAAAGATGATAAGTTCTTAGTTATCAATAATATCATGAATTTTCATTAAGTTCAGTATTCTTTAAAAAGTCCTGTTCATCCAAACTGTAATTACTAGTATTGTATTGAATATGGTAGCAGTAAACAGACAATAGATCCAATTACGGAATAGATTATTGTATAAATTAATAATAATTTTCCAAATATTTTTACTTATAAAAGTTTAAAGCATGTATTTTTTTGTCGAACGAATAAACACATTGGTTGTGTTACATTACTGAAAATTTAAATAAAATTTTATACCGAAAAAAATTATGCACCTTATTATTGCGTAACGAAAAAATTCTACGCTTTTATGTAACATCGACTCGGACGCATGTATCGACATACATACGTACCAATACATATCGATATCGATATTTGATATATGAATTATATGCACTAAATTATTTAATGTTAATGAATGCAAAGTGCACGGCTCATCTTATGTTGTCAAAACCAGTTAGCAACTTTTACTACATAGTGCCATTTATGATTTTATATGTATTTTTGGACAAGTCTATTAAATAATATACAATCAAATTATATCGCACTTCTTTTTCGATTGCAAAAAGTTACCATAATTGATTAGTACTAAGTAATTGCGTAAAGAACTCTTATTTTTTTTATTTTTTTTATTGTTTAAAGTTAACAAGTTCATTACATTATCTAAATAAATTATTCGAATTATATGTATGTATATGTATATGTATGTATATGACTAGTGAAAAAATGATGTATTGGGACATTAGAGCAGTGTTGTCACTTAACCATCTGGCCAGCTAATGGCTCAACCAAATGGTCACAGCCGATGACCAAGTTTAAAAAAAAAAAATATTTGGCTGAAATAACCAAATATTTAAACAGTAAAGCTAGTAATATAATTGGCTAATATTAATGTAAATTAGAAACTTTGGCCAAAGTCTAGCTATTGGCCATTGACCGAATGACAAAAAAAAAATAAAAAATAAAAAAATTGTTGGCCGTAAAAAATTGCCAACACTGCATTAGATCATTAAAAATTAACATAACTGAGGGTTATCTAAATATTTTAACTTCAGGGGAAGCTACTCATAACTTGAAAAATTCATGTCTCACGTTAATTTTTATCATTTTTTTTATCATTTTTATTATCATTTTTATTATCTTTCTCTTCGAATTTTGGCCATTTTCCATCGCTTGGGCAACTAGCAAGAGGACGCCAAGTTATTGGAACAATTCCCTTAACTGGTGGTGCAAGTTGTTTAAAAGCTTCAAGGGTCAAATCAATATCATCTCTACTGCCACATGTAGCACAAGCGTCAATAATCTTCACAATAGTGGATTTACTACCACATTTGATTTCTACACATTTATAACACATCGATTTTCCAATCATTCTCATAGCTCCGATCATATCTGTTGGTTTGGCATCATATGCTGGTAGTTTTCCATCTCCATAGCAAAATGCATTCTTAAGCATTTGGCCTTCAAAGAAGGTTATTTTTGCACCTACACCGTTACCGGATGGTGTAGATGAATTAGTCTTTTTCCTATTCTCAGCCTCCTCATTCTGTTCAGCGATTAAATTCTTATTTTCAGGATCGTCAGGAACTACATAGCTTGCCGCTACTGGTTCGCCAGCATACACAGGAGGATCATTAGGGCTATTGGTATTATCAACATTGCTGTCGGTAGCGGTGGTGCCATTGTTTTCGCCATCACGTTTAACAAAATGATGCTCCATTATTGATGCTCTGGCAACCCTCCACTCGTCCGCACGTTTAATTGCTTGTCTTGGTGCATACATCAAAGAAGCAGAAGCCGTGGCGAAAACTGTGAAAAGAAGACATAAGGCGAAAACAATCAATGGTGACTTCATTTTAAAATGATAAAGTTGATGAAAGTTGATGGTTGGTATTAGTTTGATTTTAACAGTCCAGCCGATTTACTATTACTAATACTCGAAAGGAGTTCGGTAAAGATGTAAATAATGATTTATAAAAAATCAAAAGAAGGCAAGAGTGGCCAGCAAAAAAGGGCTTCGACCAAATTCGTGGAGGGTGAGTTTGTCTTGAATTTCCAACGACGGTGACATTCTGCTCTTTTTAAATTTTTTTTTTCTTATAATTCTAAAACTGAGAATAAATCAAATGTGTTATTATTTGCATCTTTGTACTCTAAGAACCAATTGACTCAAATAACTATAAAAATTATTGTACTCTCATATATTCCATAAATGGTCATTGTGCAAACCACATTCCTTTTTTATACATGTAGATACTCAAATAATTTTCACCGTACCACCTTTTTTTAATAACCGTTAATTCCCAATGCTGAAACATTTTAACTTGAACGCATGACAATAACAGGTAATAAAATAATATTACCAGATTGTTATGAAACTTTTCCCGAATCTAACTTAATTACCTGATAATAAATGCTACACATTTCTATCGTGCACAAACAAATATGCGTGAAATACGATCGAAAATAAATAATATTAATTTCGTACCTAAGTACAAATGAAAACATTTATTATGTGATTTGCTATCAAATTCTGTTTAACTAATACAATTCCTTTGATTAAATTTCATTTGAACATCATTTCAAATCGTTCAAACCGCTCACCTGCGAAATGTATTACCTTCCTTTTGATCGATGTTTTTTTTACTAAAGTTGCACGTAATAATAATATTTTTTTGTTATATCTATTTGTGAAACACCTAATGTATTACATTTTTGGATTTCTTAATTCAATCAATGAAAAGATAACCCAGAAATTTCGATCAGAAAAAATTATTTAATTGTAGATTTGTGATATTGTATATCTGTGATTTACAGCGATCACTGGTAATATCGATAACCTTTTTATTAATTGTAATTAACTGTAATTAACTGTAATTAACTGTAATTGGCTGTAATTAACTGTAATACTGTAACTACCACGTATTATATTGTATATACGTATAATAATCATATATACTAAATTACATACATATTTTTTATTTAATCACTGTATAATGAGTGTCATATGCACTTTAACTGCACTAAATGATGAAATTCGTTTTAGCAGCACCTAAATGCCGAATTCTGTATCAAAAAATATATATTATTCATCTTCATAGATAAAACAAAATGATGCAGCAAGCACATGATTATAAACATCATAGTCAAACAAGATACAAAATTTCGTTCTTAACCGTTGACTATTATATTTGGCATTTTTACAATACGTACGTACGTACGTACTTTATTCATCAAATCTTTCCAAAATAAAGAAAATATGAAATAATTTGGATAATTAAAAATCATCACACAAGAATTTTCTCTATTAATTCTTTGTTCAATGCG